TGTATTTGATTTATTACATGAGCGATACCTTACCAAATTAAAGAGATAAGAGGCTCTTATTTTATATTATATTGGTAATTTGAGTTTCTAATTCGTCAAAACTATAGACTTAGTATCTTGACTTCACAAACATCTAATTTGGACAAGTGCTGCATTCAACATACCACGTGACACACAAAAATCGATGTTTATCTATGTTTTTTTAATATTTGCTTTTAAATTAAGAAATTTAGTAATATATAGTACTAAAATTTGAATTATAAACTACAGTTTGATATCAAAGTTACTGACATAAATTCATGAAATAGTAGTTCAATTAAATTTTGAATGCGAGTCAACAAATGAGATGACGTGGCCTTTCACCCGTAACCTGTCTCGAAAGGGTTAACATATTTAACTGTAGACTTGTTTTATGTACTTCTCACACTTAAACTAGACCATTTTTAGAATAATTAATATAGTGTTATTTTTTAATTCTAACTTTTTCGGAAAACGTAGCTTAACCTTGAGTAAGTATTATAATTTCTTCTATGAATTAAAAACTTTTGGAATGAAAACAATCCTAAGAAACTGAAGTATGTAGTTAAAAATGATGTTAAAATTTTGAATTAAATATGCTAGACCATTTTAATTTATATTTGTTGAATGTAGCAATGTTTTCAAATGTGAATATTTCTTAGACCTGGCATATAATTCAGAAGTTTTGAATATATTTTTCTACAATACAGGTTACTGTTAAATGGCTATCAGACATTGTAGTTTGTAAAGATCACTGAGAGATTTCATTAGTGGTTATTTGTCCTTTTGTAGAGCTTTAGCAGCTGTTAAAGTAAATAAGGTGAAGTACCTGTCCTGGAGTGGCGATATGAGCCATGTTGCCTTGTTAAGTAAACACACACTGACCATCTGCAACCGTAGACTTGACATGCTCTGTAGTGTCCAGGAAAGCTCTCGAGTGAAAAGTGCTGCATGGGAAGACAGTGGTGTTCTCATCTACACCACCTCCAATCACATCAAATATGCCCTTACTAATGGGTGAGTTTATAAGAGATATTTCTTGATAATTATCTATTTTTGTTTTATTAATAATAATATTCAGTGAGCATTTGCTGCAGTGCTTTTGAAGGGAACTATAACTTTAACTTAAATAAGATGTTTGGGCCCGGCATGGCCAGGTGGTTAGGGCGCTCAACTTGCAATCTGTGGGTCGCGGGTTCGAATCCCCGTCACACCAAACATGTTCTCCCTTTCAGCCATGGGGGCGTTATAATGTTACGGTCAATCCCACTATTTGTTGGTAAAAGAGTAGCCCAAGAGTTGGCGGTGGGTGGTGATGACTAGCTGCCCTCCCTCTAGTGTTACACTGCTAAATTAGGGAGGGCTAGCGCAGATAGCCCTTGTGTAGCTTTACACAAAATCCATAACAAACAAACAATAAATAAGATTTTATTACATGCTTTAATATTTTTCTTGAAAGGAGGAGCATGAAATGCAAGCAAAATGTTGTTTAAACATTTTAGTAAATTTTAACGCTTATATCTTGTGTAAGTTTTTTGTTTTAAAATGTAATACCATGAATATCTTACTATAATAGTTAGTAAAGTTTGAAGGAGGGTATTCACTAATCATTGTAATGTTCTTGCATTGCTGTTTGTGTGTGTGTGTGTGTATATATATATATATATATATATATATATATATATATTT